CTCCGAGCGGGTGCCGTCGGTAGCTCGCCCCAGCTCCCTCCGAGCAGGTGCCGTCAATAGCTCGCTCCCAGCTCCCTCCGAGGGCGTTCTGGCTAACTCACACTTCTCTGCCTTCCAGCCTGCTGGAGAATGTGCGCATCAAGCGCGCCGGGTTCGCCTACCGCCAGACGTACGAGGCGTTCCTGGCGCGCTACAAGATGCTCTCGCTGCACACGTGGCCGGCCTGGTGCGGCCTTGCCGCTGAGGGCGTAACCTATCTGCTCCGCGACCTCCCCATCTCCATGACCGAGTATGCCTTCGGCCGCACCAAGCTCTTCATTCGAAGTCCAGAAACGGTGAGCTGGTCCACTGGGAAGTGAACGGCCCGGCTGCCAACTGGTGTTTGATGCACTTGTGTGGTTGACTACTGGTAATTTTGCATTTGTTCACAGATGCTCACAAAAGTAAAAATAGCTAGAGGGATAATTAAGTTGGCAGAGCACCGAAAATGGGCGGATGATGTGCGGATCAGCGTGCGGAATACATTGCATTCACGTTCCAGAATTTGCGCTAAGGCGTCTCTTTTATGGCGTTTCATTGTCATCCAGTAAAGTGAGTTGGCGGAAATAAGCCACGACGGTGCCGTGGTCATGCGTGCAAAAAATAGGTAGACGATAATTTTCCGTTTAAACGGATTTCACTGAGATGGGGGTGAATTCAGGTCTTCCTCACAAATTATGCTTAGCAAAGTTTGTTCCAACCCAATTCCTGCAAAACTAAACGAACCGACCGGAAAATTTCAAAAAGCAACAAAGATTCCATATTCGCAGGCGTTTTAAGATGCATTAACCAAATTCTGTTGTTTGTTGGCCTTTTTACGTTCATGGCTTAACCGAAAATGATCTCTGCATGAAGGAGAGCGACGCAATGACCGGTGAAAGAACTGATAGCTGTTCAAACAATAGCAACTCGCTATTCTCAGAACCTCGAAGATGAGTCAAGCTGCCCCCTTTTACCATTGTCATATTTAGCAGTTCAGTGGAAGCAAGTAGTGCGCTATCATGTCATTCCTCCACCTGATCAATGCCAAGGATCGATCCATTTTTACACGTTGCTTTCTGCACAAACACTCGATGTGGAAAGACTTTGGGTTCGGTAACCAGCTTTGGCTAGCGAGCCTTAAGCCGTGACGGTTTCGACGACGACAACGTAGGAGAAATGACCTTTTATGTGTACCTAAGATGTTCTAGTCTCACTGAGATACTTTCCATGCTGTTAACATGTCCAGTGGGCATTCAGTGAGCATACTAAACGTATTCGGTACGCGGCAAGTTAGCCGTTCGAACTCAGTCGTTGCGTACGTATTTATGATCACTTGGTTCTCACTGCACCTGCTCATTACTGAGAATGACTCTAGTCGCGATATTCCATGGTAGACTGAGACATGTTGCAGGTCTTCGAGCTGGAAGAGTTCCGTCGAGAGAGGCTGCACGAGCTAGCCACGCTCATCCAGAAGTCGTGGCGAGGGTGGAGGCAGCACAGGCTATTCGAAGCCATGAGAAAATCTCAGATCATCATCGCCTCCAACTGGAGAACGTGGAAGGTCCGTGGATGGCTCTGGAATACTGCGGTGATGAGCACAGGAAAACTATCTTAAAACTGCGTCATCAGACTGGCACTAAGTTTACAGACAAAGCTCAGCTACATTGTCAGGCGCTGAAACAACTTGTAACAAGTTTTGGCGTTACGCGAGCCTGCATCTGACGCCTTTCAGACTATGTGTGTGTGTGTGTGTGTGTGTGTGTGTGTGTGTGTGTGTGTGTGTGTGTGTGTGTGTGTGTGTGTGTGTGTGTGTGTGTGTGTGTGTGTGTGTGTGTGTGTGTGTGTGTGTGTGTGTGTGTGTGTGTGTGCATGTGAGTGCATGCGTGCGTGTGTGCGTGTGTGCGTGTGTGTGTGCTTATGTGTGCGTCTGTGTCGCCGCCACGGAGGCGTCGGGCGCACTTGGGCGCGCGTGTGAGCAGCCTGCCTGCATTTACAGCAAACCCGAATACTGGGCGAGCACGGCCAGGGGTCAGCGGTGCTGTCCGTGCTAAGCCACTGGAACCTGGGACGACTGGTCTGTCGCCGGCGGCCGCCGCGCCCTGTAGACCCGACCCTGACTCAGCCGACCACGAACTGCACCCGGGCCGCTGCCCAGTACGGGGCACTTGGGCCGCTGCCCAGCACGGGGTTCCCCTGGGCCGCTGCCCATCACGGGGTGCCCTTGAGCCGCTGTTCAGTACGGGCCGCCCCTGGGCCGCTGCGCAGCACGGGGTACCCCTGGGCCGCCGCCCATCACGGGGTGCCCTTGGGCCGCTGCCAAGTATGGGTCGCCCCTGGAGCGCTACCCTTAACTATCCCACCACCACCACGTCCTCGCACATCGATGCACGGACACATAGAACCTGGCGCACTGACACAGGGGCCGCAGCGTCGGCTGGCACCTAGATGGAGCACAGTATAAAGCCGCACAGTCCATTGGCGATATGCCTGTCGTTACTGTTGTAGCTCTGTATCTAGAAGGTCTGAACCACCTCTCATAGACATACATTTTGAGGGTTGAATAAGCTTCTGGAAGTATCTACGCATCAGGAGCAAAGTTACAGTTCAGACCGATATCGCCTTGATAAGATGATTTAGTTGAATGCTTTTGTCGTTCATTGTTTTTGTTTTGAACATTGAACATTCACTATAAAGAACTGACGAAAGACCAATGACGAACATCTATTATGCATTCACAATCAAAAATGTATTATGGTGCTCGACACATTATGAGAGACTGGAGAGCGTGCTGGCAGTGGCGTGTTGGCTGATGTGTAGTTAGCGTTCGGGCAGTGGGCTGACGCGCCCGTCGAACGTGCGAACCATCGTGTCTTGAGTCCCGCCCCCTCCCCCCCCCCCCCGTCTCTGGCGGACCGTCGACCGCACCCAGCGGTGAGGAGCTGGTGTTGTGTTGACTACAGATACACCAGACCGCCGCCCATGAGTAGGCGGCGAGCTCTTCTTCTGGACGGCGTCAGGTCGGCGCCAGAGACGCGTTCTCGTTGCTCGACATTATCACAATCACGCCCGCTCGGTACTGCCCAAATAGACGGGATAGTTCTGACCTGGGACATCAACAGTGGATGCAGAGCTGGGAACGCTGTCCAGGTCTTACGTGGTTGTGCGGGGGGTGGCGGAGGGGCCTGACCCCCCCCCCCCCCCCGCCCTGTTCAGTCCTTGCCGAAGTCACCCAAGTACTTTGGCTCAGCAAATCATTCTGATAACTGGGGCCTGTTCAAATATACTCACACTTCAGCTCAGTATGCCTGGGTGAACGGCTGGCTTCCTGCGACCCGTGTCTGGGCGTGGAATTTTGAAAGACAGACTTCGCGCACAGATGCGTGTAACTCTGCAGCCTGAATTGGGATAATCTGATCGGACTGAGCACTCCTCGCTGGCGGTACGTTCATGCCCGTTCACTGCCAGTCTGTGGCCAGTCCGCACGGTGGTCTGGCCGGGCTGGGTGCCGGTCGACAGTGTTGTTGTGCCGGTTTGTGGCCGGCCTGCACGGTGATCTGGCCGGGCTGGGTGCCGGTCGACAGTGTTGTTGTGCCGGTTTGTGGCCGGCCTGCACGGTGACCTGGCCGGACTGGGTGCCGGTCAGCTCATCATCTCGCCCCGGCGCCGCGTCGCAGGCCAAGGAGGAGCTGCGCGTGATGAAGCAGCGCCGACGGACCGAGTGGGCGGCGCGACTGGTGCAGCGCGCCTACCGCTGCTGGAAGCGGCGTCGCTTCCTGCTGCGGCTGGCGCACCACCTGCCGTCCGAGAGTCCCCTCAGCCGGGACTGGCCCCGCGCGCCGCCCCTCTGCCACCAGACCAGCGCCCTGCTCTACAAGCTCTACCACAAGTGGCGGGTACGAGGGCGGCGCGCTCAACGCCGCCGGTGTCCAGCGGCTCGGTGCACGTGTCCATGGCGAACTTCAGAGCTGGAGACGGGCTAGTTACGGTCTGCATACGTCACAGCCGTATTGCGAATCTGTTAAGTATTTTGGTATGCTTGCACATGGCTCACATACCTATGTAAATTCGAATGTTGAAGGAACATTTGACTACATATCGTTTGATCTTTTCCTGTTACATAGCATAGTTCCGTTTTGATAGGTGCTAATTGTAACTTCAGTAAACGTTAGGAAATCGTTTTATCTCCGGCATGTACGTGATATCGGTTGGTTATTTGCAGTGCCACAAGTACAGAATGCGCTTCGACCAGACGTCCAGAAATCGCATGAGGGAAAAAGTGACGTCCAGCATCATCTTCAAGGGCCGGAAGGCATCCTACGCAAAGAGGTGAGCGACCAGTCACCACTGTTACGTGAAGCCTTGATTTTTGACGGGTAACTTTACTCATACACTTCAGTATGCGACAATATGAGCGGTCAGCTTAGATAAATTTTAATGCCCCCGGCACCTTTTAGTACCGTTGTTTGCGCTGGCGTTCCCCAACATTTGATTTTGCCTGCGCATTTTCGTTGTTGATATTCGTGGCAATCTGCATATGTAATCGATAAGGGATGTAAATTATCAGCATTGTATGATCTTATGTGCATTAGCTCGAACAAGCACTTCCGTGGAGACTATGTCAAGCTCAGAAAAAACGTGTTCTGGAAGAAGTATGTGAACCTCAACTGGGATGACCGACACGTGGTCTTCGCGGCTGTTGTGAACAAAGTGAACCGCAGCAACGGACAGGTCGGTCGTGGTGCTGCGCGTGCTGGTGCTGCCCACGAGGCGCGGCTCGGACGGAGACACCGACTGCCTGCCTCGACAGGTCACAGAGCCTGCGGCAGCTGTGTGGCAGCACGCACTAACACCAACTGCCCCGCCCGCCTCCCTTTGTGTGACGGCACGCACTAACAATTTAGCGTGTTGTCCACGGGAGGACCAGCGCACGAGGCTCGCTGTCCGCTGAATGGTGGCTGACGCAGAGCAGAGCGGCCAAGCATGCTGTCACCGCAGCACCGTTCCGAGAGTGGGCCTCTTGATAATAGTTGTTCTGGTGTGTGAGCCGGGCTCCCATGAAAGGCTCGCGCTGAGCGCTGGCCCTCTAGCTCAGGTACAAAAAGCTCACTCATTTCCTGATCGCAAACAAAGCAACGCTGCATTGTCCTGCGAGTGGCCTTCAACAGCTGATGAGTCGTGGGCACTGCCTGGATTGCATTGCACAACTCCGCACACCGCGTAACGGGACTGTCAGCGAGGCACCACGGCATGAGTTTGCTTAATAACTGAACTGCATCGTAAGGTGAAATACATACAGGCATGCCGTCCAAAAGGACGAGCCATGCTAACAAGATTATACGGAGATGAATTGCATAGCTTTTAATGTCAACTGTCTTGGTCATTGCGCTATGAGAGACGGAGGAACGACCGAAATCATGAAAAACTGGCCTGCCTGAATCAAAATTTTAGAATTGGCATAAATGGAATGGTGAGAAAATTACGGAAATGAGTATCACGGAAGCGGATAGGCAGCGTTGCAGCTAATCAAAACACCATTGAGTGGCTCAGAGCGCTTGAGTACATGGTTTGTCACGCGCCACGTGTGCGGGACCTGCGGAGGGCATTGGCATCGTCGAAGTGCGTTGACAAAACACGTAAACGATGTGTTTAAGCGGACGCGTTTTTTTCCGTTTTCCGCCCTGAGGCCTCCGCATACGTGATTCATCTGCAAAGCGGGATACAGCACAGGAGTATGTTCGTTTGAATGGCTCTAGGGTTAATGTGCCAATGACACGTGATTTTATTGCAATGGCCATCAAAGCCACAAAGTTTATAAAACGAACCCCTATAGCCAAAGACAAGCCATGTCAGCGCACCGGTGTTCCGCCTTTCGTAGCGCTGCCAGCAGGGCGGTGACGCGGCGCCGACGGTGCCCGCACGCTCGTGCTGCGAGCTGTTAACACCGGCTGCGGTGGCTGCGTGCTCGCGCGCTGTGTGAGCTGTCAACACCGGCTGCGATGGCTGCGCGCTCGCGCGCTGTGTGAGCTGTTAACACCAGCTGCGATGCCTGATGAGTGACACTAACCGCCCTGGCCGGGCCTGGACCGGACGCCCGCCGCTCCTCGTCGCTGCGCGCTCCCACTAACGCAGGACCGACGCCGGCCGTTCCAGCATCGGCCACCCGTTTCTCGGCGACTACGTGCGACTGCGTCAGAACAGTCACTGGAAGAAGATGTCGGCAGACACTAACGACCAGTACGTGGTGTTCGCCGACATCATTAACAAAATCGCACGCTCCAGCGGAAAGGTACTAACGCCCCGGTGACTGCCGCGCGCGAGAGACGCTGTGAAGCCGTGTTGGTGGAGTGAGTTGACAAGCCCAGTATTTTTGAAATGGAATGACATGGCTGGAGCGTCGCTCGGCCACTTAACCATATGAATGCGCTCGTACACCGCTACGAATGGTATGCGCATGTTTAAACATTAATGCGGGCGGTGGGAGGTGACAGGGTGATGCTATTTCCAAGCTCAAAAATCTCCACGACGCAGTCTGTTTCACTTCCAGTAAATGTGGCTAGTAGCTGTATATGTTGTGGAATGCTGGTTTTAAGGTCCTTGATCTTTCATGCTTGCAATCAAATTATAATGCAGGAGATAAGCTATGGATTTTTAGGGTAAGATATCCCTTGAACTACTGGCTATATGTGGGTGTAGTCCAGAAATGTGCGCAGCGGCTCATGACTGAAACGAAGCTGAATAGGCAACGCCTGAACTCAGGAGTGTCACAACTCACATTTGGGACGGCTAGGCACATTTTGGGCAGCTTTTTACGACTATACAATCAAAACGCGTGCTCCATATAGGTCGGTTGTCTTACAGCTCCGGGTTCAGCGACCCGCTTGTCCCAACTGCCAACCGACTGACCATGCCCGTCACCGCAGCCCCGGTGACGTCGGCTGTGTCCCAGACCCCACAGAGCGGGAAGGGGGGTGACGGTTTAGACCAGCGAGGATGGGGGGGGGGGCTGTTTGACCGGTGCGATGACGCCAGCGCTCCGCCACAGTTCGTTCCAGTCCTGTTTGTGTTGAGCACGAGCTCGATGCTGATCCTGGACCAGCGGACGATGCAGATCAAGTACCGGATCCCGGCGCCCGAGATCTACCGGATCTCGCTCAGCCCATTCCTGGACGACATCGCCGTCTTCCATGTGCGCGCTGTGAGTGCCTCGCTCCCCCTCCTCTTCGGCGCCGGGTCGGCCGCCGACGCACCGGCTGTGCGCGAGGCACAGAGCAGACGCTCCTCACGAGCGGAATGCTGGAGAAATTGTGCGGCAGTGTCGTGCCTGATACTCCACCGCTGTGTTCCGAGCCGTCAGGTGTATCCGCCGAAGCAAGTGACAGCCAGCCCCGTGTGCCCTGAGCCGTGCCCTGAGATGTGTTCTCAGGCGTACACCCAGTCAGGTCTCAACCGCACTCCGAGCAGCGCCCCGCACCGGTGCTCTGAGCCGTCCTCTGAGCCGTGCTCTGAGCCGTCCTCTGAGCCGTCCTCTGAGCCGTGCGCTGAGCCGTGCGCTGAGCCGTGCTCTGAGCCGTGCTCTGAGCCGTGCGCTGAGCCGTCCTCTGAGCCGTCCTCTGAGCCGTCCTCTGAGCCGTGCTCTGAGCCGTCCTCTGAGCCGTCCTCTGAGCCGTGCGCTGAGCCGTGCGCTGAGCGTGCTCTGAGCCGTCTCTGAGCCGTCCTCGAGCCGTGCGCTGTGATGAGGAATGCTCTGAGCCGTGCGCTGAGCCTTCATAGAGTCGTCTCTGAGGCGTGCCGTGAGCCGTGATTGAGGCCGTCCTATGAGCCGTCACTCTGAGTCCGTCCTCTGAGCCGTGCGCTGAGCGTGAGCTGAAGCCGTGCTCTGAGCAGGTGCGATGAGCCGTGTCTGAGCACGTGCGATGAGCCGTTGTGCTTCTGAGCAGTGCCGCTGAGTGCAGCCGTGCTCTGAGCCGTGCTCTGAGCCGTCCTCTGACCAGTCCTCTGAACCGTGCTCTGAGCCGTCCTCTGAGCTGTCCTCTGAGCCGTGCTCTGAGCTGTGCTCCGTACCGTGTCCCGCGCCGCGGCGCTCCGAGCCATACTCCTGCCGACAGTTGTCGCCGTCACGTGACGTGCCGGTGGAGGAGCCCAACCTGCCCGGCTGCCTGCTGGGTGGTGAGGCCGGTTCCAAGCACCGCAAAGGCGACCTCGTCTTCCAGACGGGCCACGTCATCGAGATCGTCACAAAACTCTTCCTGGTCATTCAGAACGCCACGGGCAAGCCACCCGACATCAACATCGACACCGAGTGAGTGGCCTGGTCGCCTGGAGAGCAGCTGGACGGGGGAGGTCGCGGACCAGCATCCGCCGTCTGCTGGTCGCGGGGGAGGGCGACACGGTCCTAACGACCTGAATGGGCTGCGCTGCGATGCCCTTGGACGTGTTCACCCGTGGTCTGGGCTGGTAACGTTGCCCGCGCGATACGGCAAGCTGTTCCTTGTCCTCAACGATGTTTTGTGCTTACAGGTTCGAGGCGAATTTCGGCCAGAGTGATGTGGTGTTCTCTTTCAAGGCTTCCGGTCACCCGGATACGCCACCGGGTCAGATCCGGATCATTAGGCGAGCCAACAAGATGGAAGTGATCTTATGAGAGCACGCCTCCTGCTAGTGTTGTTGAAAAGGTATGATCCTGACAACTATTGAAATGGTTTAATGTGTCGTCAGCGTTCATAGGCATTGAAACTGATTCTTTTTTTAACTGTTTCCATATGCCGGTAGGGTAAAAGCTGTCTACGGGTTGATTCTATGAACGTATTACGTGAATTTCAAGCTGTCCGATAGGCACAAAGTAGAGATGCGCATCCAAGCATAAAGTTGACGGGTTTACAAAACGCAAAGGCTCCTGTTTGTAGTTTGGCCATACGTGTCATTGACATTAAGGCATATGTTTCCGCCTAGTGAGCATGTAGAAATGTGCAAAATGTGACTAAATGGGGGACGCCGCTATTTGCCATTGTGAAACCAGGCGAGAAACGGCAAACCGTGACAAAGCAAGAAATGAACGTCATTTTGTCATGTTGTACATGACATCACTCACTGACTAAGGTCACGTCACACTCGAGTAAGATGACGTCACTTACTCAATTCGATGTGCCGTCGTCACGGGCCATCACGTCGATGGCGCCCGTCAAACGCGCGATTCATATGCATCGAACCATCGATTGAGTGTGACTCACGTCCGACTTTCGTCGCCACATATGTTATCCACAACTTGACCAGGAGACTGAGGCCACCTTGACTGCGTTTCCCGATGCTGCGTGCACCGTCACCGGGTCCATGGTCGGCTGCTCAGTGGCCGCGGGAACAGGCTGTGGGGAACCGTGCTCCCTTGGTAGCGCTCAGCAGACCAATGTCAGCACGCCACACGTGTTGTGTGATGACCGGGATGACTTAGCCCTTGGTAGAGCTCAGCAGACCAATGTTAGCACGCCACATGTGTTGTGTGATGACCGGGATGACTTAGCCCTTGGTAGGGCTCAGCAGACCAATGTTAGCACGCCACACGTGTTGTGTGATGACCGGGATGGCTTAGCCCTTGGTAGGGCTCAGCAGACCAATGTTAACACGCCACACGTGTTGCGTGATAGCCGGGATGACTTAGCCCTTGGTAGGGCTCAGCAGACCAATGTTAGCCCGTCACACGTGTTGTGTGATAGCCGGGATGACGGACTTAGCCATTGCCGAGATCTGGGGTTGGGGTTGAGCAAACTGTTTGCTCACACGACAGTAGGACGTTCACACGATAATTGACACTTAAAAATCCAAACGGCGGAGAGTAACTTGTAAAAATAAGAGAGTGAAAAGAGCGGCAGCCTGTGGTTACTGACACGCTTGCTAATTTATGTTACCGCGTCCAGCAACGCACTTGGCTTAGCCCATCAGATGTTTCAGCACTTGCAATTTTACTCCGACTCACAGTGCTGTGTGTGTTGGTATATGTTGGTACCGCCGTAGCATACTGGTATTCCATGGCGTCGTGTTAGCACCCGAATTTTCAGGGATATTGCAGCATGAAAAGCAAATGTTTGGAAAAAGACAAATTCCAGAGGGGCTAGAGGGCGTGACACCCTTCTGTTGCTATAAAAGACCTTTGTTCCCATTCGCTCTGAAGATTGGGCGTACACGATGGGGTTTTAAAATGTATCCTACCATAAGGTTGCAGGGGCTGTAATTTTATGACGTATTTTTCACACATTTCCCACACCAGGAAATAAATAACAAGAAACATGTGGTCAGTTTTGTTTGTTTGGTCTCTGTCAAACTTAGCGTAACGTCTTAAATGCCGCGTTTATAGGAAAGTCAATTAATGACACTTCCTCCCAGTAAGGTCTGTGTTACACCAAATAATTCGGTGAGTTTTTTTAGTTGCTATATCATGCAGAGCGAGCACCTGGGAAAAAGAGGAAATCTATAGCGAGAGAAAGAAAAGTTTGCAACATCGCAACATAGGTTCTCTGTATCAAGAAAGAAAAGTTGCAGCATTGCATACATTTCATTAAAAAAGAAGAGGCTCTATATGCATTACATTACAAATATTGTTATGTCATTTGCCGCGTGTGAGTATTGTGCTGCGCATGCCGCCGTCTCCGAGCGGCGGCAGTGACTGATGGGCTCTGCTACCGCGGGGTCCAGGGCTGGTCGCGGACCTGGGCTTGCTCCGCGGGTTCGATCGGCGGTGTCGGTTTGACCGGTGGGTTCTGCTCCCACAGAAATCGCGGTCCCGTGTCGGTGACCGGTGGTTCTGCTCCCGCAGGGGTCGCGGCCGTGCCGATGACCTGTGCGTTCTGCTCCCGCAGGGATCGCAGCCTCGCCTGCGACAGGGACGAGTCGGTCGCCGGGCGCCGAGGCCAGCTGCCCAGGGTCCTGGGAGTGGACGACATCCTCTCCAAGACCCTCTGGTGTGCCCCGGTCGTCCAAGGGGCCCTATGGCTTTGCCGCAGCCTAACCAAGGGCCCTATGACTCGCCGCAGTCTGTCCAAGAGGCCCTCTGAGCGCGCCGTAGTCTGTCCAAGGGTCCCTCTGAACGCGCTGCAGTCTGTCAAAGAGGCCCTCTGGGCGCGCCGCAGTGTGTCCAAGAGGCCCTCTGAGCGCGCTGCGGTCTGTCCAAGAGGCCCTCTGAGCGCGCTGCGGTCTGTCCAAGAGACCCTCTGAACACGCTGCAGTCCGTCCAAGAGGCGCTCCCGGAACGGCCGCCACTCCGTCGGCCGGTCCAGTGGTGTCGGCTGCTGAAGCGGACCACCTGGGCTGCGGTCGGCGCACGGTCCGTTGGTCGGCCGAGGCCGAAGCACGGTCTGCTGGTCGGCCGAGGCTGAAGCACGGTCTGCTGGTCGGCCGAGGATGACGGTCGGTCTGCTGGTCGACCGGGGCTGAAGCACGGTCTGCTGGTCGGCCGAGACTGAAGCACGGTCTGCTGGTCGGCCGAGACTGGAGCACTGTCTCTGGATCTGCCGCGGCTGCAGACGAAGCTGTAGCGCTGCTGTGCAGCTAAACGGTGCCATGAATTCATCAGTTTTGTATCATTGTGCTGGCGCCTCGTGAACGCGTATGCATTTGCAAGTGAGCTTTGTTTGCCACTGCCTTGTTACTGACATGTGGTTTAACGATACGTTGTCATTTTCAGCGTGTTTTTACCCCGAACATTTTGGTTGGACATAGGCGGAGCTTTAAATGAGACATTGAAGTCTACGACTTAGAAACTCCTATGTTGTCAAGAAAACCCACCAATTTGTTTGTATGTTCATGACTTATGAGGATAGTCTAGGCGCCAATTGGTGGCATGCTACCACATGTTCTTTGCTGGACATAGTAGCAGCTGTATTGTGCTCAGACAATCTCTTGGAAAGTTTGCTAGCGTTACCGAGCATCTCCGCACCCTTATTTTTATGTACCCGGTAACATATGGGCATTTGTTTTGTTCCAGCAGCATGGAACCGATTAACCGCAGTTTGGGTGAGACCTGCTCTCCCCGAAGATAGCGACCTTGTTTTTGACGCGTCATTCTGCTGTTGTCTGCATTCTGTTCACCGGGCCACTCAATCTTGTATTACGGTCCAGATTTGGCCGCGGCCGTCTGAGTTGTCTGCTTTCTGCGCTTGGGAAAACACGTCCGGCGCCGTCCACGGGCGGGGTGGGCTCGGGGTTGGGCCCCAGCTGACTGTCAGCGTCGGTCTGACGGCCGGGGCTAGCCAGCCTACCTGCCAAGCAGCCACCGACGGGAGGCCGTCAAGACGCGGATCTGAAAGCGTATTTGTTTGTTAATGTGCATTGCACGTGTCTTCCATTGTTGCGTTTCGTTGCCTTCGTCAACTAGCTTACCCTGTGGTGCACACATGCCGTCTTATTCGAGCCGCGTCCCTCCGAAATGTGTCATAGGACTCGTGTCTTTTGCATCTGTACATAGCCCATCCGCTCCGACGCTCTTCCAAAGCGTGCAGCAAAGCGATGTCGACATCCCAACGGACGCATCACCGGTGAGACTTTGTACGGCGGATTGTAGCGCGCGCCGCTGTGCTCCATTTCCACCGACGGCCATATTTGGGTGGGGGGGTATCGGCACACAACCAGGACCCGTCACGTTAGCACCTTTGTTCATAGAGCACACAGACGGAAGGAGGCAAGTACACACTGCTGTCGCGACCTGGTTTGTACAGTTCCCCCACGCTGTGACGGTCGGGCCCAGTTTGTACCGCAACCCAGTCCGCGTTGTTGCGGTCAGGTCTGGTTTGTAATGTCGGCCCACGTTGTGATGGGCAGACCCGGTTTGTACTGCCAATACCTGTTGTGGCGGTGGGGCCTGGTGGTAGGTTGCACTTTTCTGCAGTGTAAATGCAATAATACACAGCCATCTGTGACTCAGATATATCTTATAGTCTTCACGAAAAACAAGGAAGCACGAAAAACGCCGCAAGATGAAACCACACCCAATGAAAGAAGCAGGAGCCTGAGTCCCAGGAGCTGAACGCGCGACACCATCTGGTGGTGCACCAGCAGGTCCATGACCGGTCCCTCTGACCGGGAGACGTGCGCTGCCGGCGATGACGACCGGGACGAGGGCTGGCCCGTGGCCAGTTCCTCAGGCCCGGGGTCCATCAGCCGCCCGACGCCACAGTCACTGATGGACTCCTGGGGGCGTCAGAGTACCCTAGAGTACCTCAGCCGCCCGACGCCACAGTCACGGATGGACTCTTGGGGGCGTCAGAGTACCCTAGAGTACCTCAGCCGCCCGACGCCACAGTCACGAAAAAGAGAAGACTAATGACGTAGCGCATTGCACTTTGATAAAACACGGCAGAGCCTGCGGAGCGCAGTAAACCCGCCGGAGAGAGGAGCAAAGAGCGATAGACAGCTCATAGAAGCGCAAATCATCTTTCGTGCTTGGTCAGTCTGACCTAAATCAATTGCACTTCGTGATTTGAAACAAGTTTTCGGAGGTAAGATGAGTTGAGTTGCTTATGATTCGTTTGTGTCACAGCCAATCCAAGTAGGACGTACATTTTGTTTAATGTACACAGTAAAACTAGGCTGCTCTCTAAAACAGTGCTGTTGTTTTTTTTCTCATTTTCTGTGTTCGCATCGGATGACGGAACGTCCGAAAGAATGTGCTTCTCGCGCGTCTTATCCGATTCTAGCAACCGGCTGAAAAAATGTCGTGTCTGGTGTGTATGTGAAATGCTTTCCATTGCGCTTCCATCGCGCCTTTACTGATTTATTATGCGGCTTTTGCTCATTTACCGTGTTTGCCATACGTTACAAATTTATGCTATTTGTCATACTTTGTTGCCTTACGCACCTTTTGGAGACGTGGCATGCCGGTGTGGTGCTCAAATATTTTTTCTCAAATATATTGAAACATATCCTTTATCAGGTCAGTGACAAAAACAGGCATACATTTTCGGCATAACCAAAAACTCCAACGCACCACGACAGTGTCGCGTTTATTTGCTATCTTGGCTAACCAAAGACCTACAATCTTGTGACGACAGTCATCCACCGACCGGCCATCAGCTGCAGCACTTCATTTCATCTAACAGTCACATCTGATACAGTCGATGGAGAACTATGACGTCAGACTTCTAGCAGCTCAGAAGCCGCCAGTGGGAGACCCCTAACACCTCGCATGTCCTCAATCGGTGTGGCGACAGGAAGGCTACCGTAACGTTTTGGCCCAGACGGGAACCCCGGGCTGTAGTGCGGTGCAAGTGAACCGGTCCCATGCGGCTGGCATTGGCCGACTCGATTTGCTCCGAGTGTCGTGGCGATATTACGCCTCCCTTTCATCCGAGCCCTCGGCAGTACTGGTCTGCGATCTGTGCTGCTGTCAGACGGAGTGTGAGCGATTCTAACGGCGTACATATGTTGATGAACTTCAAAATTGTAATGCGCTGTAGGATTCTAATTAACTTCAAGATTTTACCCTACCCAATCTTGACCTCGGATCGCCTTCACAATGGCCTCAACCTTAGCGGTTGAGCATTGGCCGACTTCAGCAGCATAGCCGCCCACTTCAGAGCGCCTTCGCGCCTTCAGAACCACAAGGGAAGAATATTTGGTTAGCACAATAGTGCGTTGACGTAAACATTTTTGACCTTGTCGAAAATACATGCACAGCGCCGATTTTTATGAGTTTTACCATGCCCCAGTTACTTATTGGTGAAATGCAGGATGGGCCACAGCTTACGGCTGTACAATCGTCATCACCATGTGCTAAAGACTTGGCAGGCATCGACAATACTGGAGGAGATGCGCCATGTGGGCTGGTTTGGGTAAATCCACGCCTCATTTAGATTCACCAGTAAGGAGTAAAAACACCGTTGACCAAACAGCATCACAACTAGTCGTATATTGGGTGTACCAATGCAGATATACTACGTTGCGACAGTGTAATTGACATATACAAGCGGTTGTGCAAATAAATCACGGCGACAAAAGTACGGAGACTAACCGTCACACATGTGATTCATATGCCTGAACTAAAAAGGCAGTCATTGTCTCACCACCCTTTAAGTGATTGCACACGGTGGACGCAGACATACAGACGGGATCAGTTTGCCCCGCCCTCGTCACCAGCAGAACGGCGGACTTCGGCGCGTCTCCCCTTATCACTGTTCGCCAACATCGGTTTGCTCGTCTGGAAACCCAACATGACATAGAACTATACCGCACTGATGTCCACGCAGATAAGTAACCAGCACCACTAACAGCTTCTGCTCAAATAGTGCATACCAACACTTGTCGGACTGAGTTGCTAATTGCTAGCGGACGGAAGGCGTGCTAATCAGCTGCATCGTTTGCTTTCACCACCCCCAAACGCAGTCGTTTTACGGAAGGACCGAGACGAGGCATCAACACCGCGTAGAGAGTAATTGTCCGAGCTGTTGTCCTCGCCTGGGGTGCTAGGATTTGTGTAGCGTTTCGACCAGTCCGCTCTCCGGCCTCCGTTAGGTGTTATGAAGTCCTGACAATGACGTTTGGCTGCCAGTCATGCACGAGTCACAGTCCAAACTCTCGCCTTGGAATAGCTGGGATTCGACTCAGAGTCTTCTGATGGAGAGGCCAGTGCTCTACGAACTGAACTAGCCGGGAAAGACAAGCAGGGGACATGTCCTTTCCGGTTAGCTCAGCTTGAAGTGCACTGGACTATATTAGACGACCCTGGTTCGAATCCCACCAATGGTAAGGAACAAATTTGGTGTGTGACCCGTACATGGCTTAAAGCCAGTCATCCTCCACTCCTTATAAGGACTCCATAACACCTGTGGGCGGTAGCAGAGTTAACAGGCGGAAGCCTTGTGTAAAAACTAACGCCAGGCGAGCACAATGGCCGCATAATATTCAAAGCCGTGTGGTGAGAGACGGGCCACGCCGCCTCCCGATGGCCGGTGGGGGGGGGGGGGGCAAAGTCCCCTTATTCGCAAATCTGGCT